TGTTCTGTGGTGGTGTGGTGTGTGTACGAGTAGTATTCATTTGTTCTCACCCGTAAGCCTCCGCCCGGCTGGGGGCAGTGGACAGTGCTGTTATGTGTAGTGCTGTAGTGTCTCTGTAGTCTATAGTGTGTCTGTGTGTGTGTGTGTGTACGAGTAGTATTTCATTTGTTCTCACCCGTAAGCCTCACGCCCGGCGGCTGGGGGCAGTGGACAGTGCTGTTATGTGTAGTGCTGTAGTGTCTCTGTGTAGTCTATAGTGGTCTGTGTGTGGTGTGTGGTGGGATTTTTCATTTGTTCTCACCAGTAAGCCTCACGCCCGGCGGCTGGGGCAGTGGACAATGATGTGTAGTGCTGGTAACTATAGTGCGTCCCTGTGTGTGATGTGTGTGTAGTGTTTCATTTGTTCTCACCAGTAAGCCTCACGCCCGGCGGCTGGGGTGCATGCTGATGTGTAGTGCTATGTCGTAGTCTATAGTGTGTCTCTGTGTGTGAGTGTGTGGTGTGTTTCATTTGTTCTCACCAGTAAGCCTCACGCCAGCGGCTGGGGGCAGTGGACAGTGCTTATTAGTAGTGCTGGTACTATAGTGTGTCTCCTGTGTGTGAGTGTGTGTGGTGTTTTCATTTGTTCTCACCAGTAAGCCTCACGCCAGGGCTGGGGGCAGTGGACAGTGCTATTATGTGTAGTGCTGTAATGTCTCTGTAGTGGTCTATAGTGTTCCTGTGTTTGGTGTGTGTAGTGTTTCTTTGTTCTCACCAGTAAGCCTCACGCCCGGCGGCTGGGGGCAGTGGACAGATCCCCGCCGTTCGGTGCCGAACGAGGCCGAGTAGATGGCCACTCGGTGCTGGTCGCAGTAGATGGGTCGCCGCTGGCCCTGACACACCACCACCTTTGTCCGGAACTCGGCTGCGGAGAAACATGGCGTGTGGCGTCACACATAGGCTCAGAATCGTGTCTCGTGGCACATTGCAAAGCTATTCAAAATGCGATTTCGTCATCAAAGTATTTCTTTCATTGATAAACGGAAGTCTATAAGTAATCGGGTTCAACAAAAAAACTCACATTTCAGCAATAATCATAACAAACTCCTGAAATGGCAAGAGTAATAAACCTTTTGTCTTATAAAATAATGGATTTGTCACCGGGAGAAAATTACGTAACACAATATCAGATTCAAAACAAGTGTGCTCGAATATTGCGCCAGCACCATAAAAGCACCAACAATACTAAGCACAGGATATGGGCACACATCCCGTTTGAATCCCGCGAATTAAGCCGTCAAAGCCGAGGCCATTTGGAGCGTCGATGCCGCCGCTGCCCGGCGCACTCCGCAGTCCCCGTGTCACCTAACGGCGTGTTTTGCGCTGCGCACCGCGTCACCGTTTAGGCGCGTGTGAGTGCGGGCAGATGCCGCCATCCGGAAGCGCTAAAAATAACAGCTCATTAGGCGGCCCCGGGGTGCCCAGCTTTTTCCGCTCGACTGAGACGAACCCACGCGATGATGGTTTGGTTGGAATACCAAAATTCCGTAAATATTCACCATTAACTGCACACCTACGCCTAATTGCCTACATACATGCACGCCTAGCATTTATATGGTATAATGTATCCCTGCATGGAATTTATCACGTATCAAATTCATTCAAGTCTTATCAAGCTCGGATTTCGTACCTTATCACGTAGATCAAATACCGACTAGGCTGAAACCGATCCCCATCGCGTTGTCTGGTGGCGCTCGATCTTTCGCTGCGGAGCTAGTGGGCTGTGTCCATTGCTAGGATTGCGATATTAGCCAAGATGGGACGTCCTAGATGGCTAGAGCATGTGCCGGCTCTCACTAAAATGGCCGCTCCTCGAGACCAAATGGAATGTCGGTGTCCAAGATCGACAGCGGAATCAAAGGGATACAAGGCTTAAGCTGTCGTTAACTACCCGCAACATCGGAAATACGTCATCTAACGGCATCTGAAGAGCTTTAACTTTCGTCTCTTTTGGTCCTGGAAATCGAAGAACTTCGCCAGAAAATGAGTCCAGCTTAATTGCAGGACTATTCTTACGAAGCGAAGAACGAGTTGAAACGGGCAATGGAAGGAAATTCTCGCATTTTAACACGTTCACTTATTTTTGACACATCCAATCAAAAGTAAGCACATCCAAACCAGCATGGGCATGGGTCCGAGTGATGAATCTATGATCTCAGTGGATCTCGAAGCAAAGTACAGATTGGGATATATGATCCCACCGGATCCGGCGTGAAAAATATATCTTGGATTTATGATATCATATGATCTGACGATAAATTAAGAACATGGATCTATGTTCTGAGTGGATCCCACCATGCACCACATTCATTTGATACCATGCTTTAAAGGGTTTCTATGCCAATAAGTGACACAAAACTATGGATTATGACGTGCGATCACATAAAATCACTAAAACAGAACGTTTGTGAGTTGAAACAAGTGCTTTTTTGGGATATATGTGTTGACAAAAATAAGTGAGGATCTATGATCTCACTGGATCTCAGGCAAAAAATGAGACTCGGATCTGTAATCCCTACGGATCTCTCGATAAATTACAGAGCTGGATCTATGATCCCGTCGGATCCGAGATCAGGATCCGTGGGATCAGATCCCAGATCGATTTTCCCGGATCCATGCACATGTCTGATCCAAACTACTAGTCACCATAGTCCATAGAATCCTCATCATGAGACCAATAGCATATAAGATAATAACTGTCAACACCAATAGTACGATCTCAATGTGCAGGTATATGCCCTGGTGGGCATTGTAACGATATAAAAATTCAACTTCCTAATGCGCCAAATCAACAAGAATATCAGTGGATATGGATTTCGCTACCCTTTCAACTCCAAAGCAGAAGCACGCTCGTTGGGTTAAAGTGGATATGATGCATCTCCTATTTATTCACCGTTTATTTTTCTTTTGTAACTTCAGATGGTTCCCGACGGAGTGAATGTGTAAAATGCAAACAGCAGCTTCCTGTGGATCGGCACTGCTAGTTCCCACGAGCCGACGGACTTTACAAAACATGTTCTACTGCCGGTGGCCGGATGTGCGAGACACGACATATCAACACAGGCGAGTGTTAGAGCACGATAAATGACCGTAACTGAAAACACAGAAAACTCGTGTCGATGGGATGTGAAGGAACTGTTGAGGTAGCACAGCGGCAGTACTCACTCGGTCGGCATTTGTAGGCAACTTCGACGAATTTGCTGATACCCGGCACGGGTCGACCCGAACAGGGCAGCAGAGGTACGCAGCTGACACTGGCGCTTCCCGACGCAGGCGTCAATCACCACCTGTCACATGGGGACTGTCACACTCTGGCAGAGACTGTCATATGACGGCTGTCACAACTGACAGTCTCACAGCCACTGTCACACAGCAGTTAACACAGCCTCGCAGCGGCTATCACATGGTAGCTGTCGCAGTCTCAAAATTGACTGTCATATGACAATCGGCAGCTGTCATAACGGATCTCGCAGCGACTGTCACACCGGAGACATCGCAGCTCTGACACACGACCAGCGCGATGCCGTAAATAAAGGTTAGGCGGTTATATAAACATTTACTTAAAGTTATTTGTTAATCAGCAACGAAAAGGTTCGCCGAAAAACTCCCTTTATGGCAGCTCACGGGTCATAAATTTGACACGATATATAAACTTAAGAGTTTTCGCACACAACTATACACATATGATCCTACATCAATCTTACATTTGACCTATACCTACTGATAGCTCGCCCCCCCCCCCCCCCGTTTACCACTACACCCCCGTTAAACCCCGTAAACCGGCGTCGCCATCCCCTGGCTCACCTTGAGCGCGCTCCTGTCCATGCAATCGGTGTAGTTGAAGCGGCGCATGTCGGCCGCCGATCCGCACAGTGTCGGGTTGGTGGCCAGTCGGCCGTACTGCACCAGCTGGATGGAGACGGTGGTGCCGGCCGGACACTCGAGTCGCAGCAGCTCGCCGTCACAGGAAGCCACCTGGAACGTGCGCAGCGTACCCGACAGCAGCGCTGGAACAGGGGAAACAGGGGGTTAGAGATGGGGAACTAAGGTCACAACATCGACAGTAGAGCCGTCAGCTGAGCCAGGGGAAACATGGGGTTAGAGATGGGGAACTAAGGTCACAATATCGACAGCAGCACTGGAACAGGGGGAACATGTGGGTTAGAGATGGGGAAATAAGCTCAACAATACCGGCAGCAGCACTGAAACACAGAACATGGAGGATAGAGATGAGGAATGACTATAAGACCATATTACCGGCAGCAGCGCTAGGAACACGACACAGAGGTCGATTGGCTGAATCACAATACCGACAAGAGCACTTCAAACGAATATGTACGAGCATGTACGAGTATGATGGTGACTGAGCGATGAGCATGAAGATCGTTGCAAAAAGATTCAGGATACAGTACAGAGTGACATAAGTAAAGATGGAATGTCCAAGTCCCTCTCGTCACACGGTGGAAGCGCGAGAGCCACCTTCCTGAGCTATACGGCACAGCATAACTTCAGGCGTCAGACGCCAGTGCCATCTAGTGACAAGAATGCTACACTGTCGCGGACGGTTCCAGGGAATTTCAGTCTCGCGCATTAACATTTCCAGTAGTACGTGAATCACGTTTGTTCTGGGACCTTTGGCGCGGTGACACCGTTTTCTCCGAGCCATTTGGAAGCTCCGTCCCCTGACGGCTTCGCAACAGGCCAAACTGAGGCGCGGCGAGCGGTGCCAAGTGCGCCAGAGCTCCTCTCTCCCTCCGTCCCTCTCTCTCAGGCTGCTCCTGTCAGGTAACGCAGGCCAGCTGACGAGCGGCCTTCAGGTGACTGTGAGGTAGGCAGCAACACCAGCAGCGACCAGCGTCCCCCACAGCAGGGCAGGGGCCAGCAGTGCAGCACCATAGAGGGCCCGACGGACCACCTGAAGTGGCACCCACTCTCGCTCACAGGCGAGTGAAGGACGACGGTGGACCAGCGGCGGAGCGAACAAAAAAAAAGAATACTGGACCACAATTCAGAAGGCAGAGAAAATGATGGCAAAAATGTTTTATTAATAGGACTGTGGATAAAGAATGTAAACGTGAGTGCGTGTGGATACATAGGAGAGAGAGAGAAGAGAGAGAGGATAGAGGGAGGGAAAAGAGTTGGGGAGAGAGCGGAAGAAGGAAAACGAAAAAAGAAAACATGTTTAATCTAGGGCCACAGGCAGATATCGGCTACAGAATGGGTACTGCATGGACAGAAGGCTTTGGAAAGTGGAGAACTTATGATAAGTTGAGCGAAATATCCCGGTATCTGTAGGCATTCTGGGTCGTTTGGAACAGAGCTCTCGGCTGATGCCGCTCCCCGCCGGGCTAGCTCGCTCAGTTAAAACGTCTCCCTGGTTCAGCTACTGGTCGATGTCGCCCGAACTAGGCCAAGCGACGAGCTTCATCGAAACACCCTCGACGTCGCAGACACCAGATCCAGAGTTCACTTACAGTATTGGCTGTGAAAATAGCCGTGGGAACTTTGAAGCTCTTCCGTAAGGCTGCGTTTTTGAACCGTCGATCGTATTTCCAGCAAATGAAGCCATCAGTATAACAAACGGGATAGATAGGACCCATATTTGAAATGACAACCGATTTTTCGCCCATGCACATCGATTCACGGACTGAAGACGAGCGACGATGCGAGAATGTCATGAGGTCAAGGTAGAGGGCAACAGTTCCTGGCTGTTTGCTTCTCATTCTATATTCTTTGACGTAAGTTGGACGTGAAATCCGAGGATGAGACGTACTACGTAGTTACATATGCCTAGCCTATGATACCTAGATACCCATAGGTATGCTTAGATGAATACATACGCAGTTCGCAAAATAAAAAAGTGTAAATGACGGAGTGCAATTGCTTCAAATTGTGCCCATCAAAGTCCATACAGCAGCATTGAAACTGACTCGGAATCAACGCCCAAAATAAACCACCTGTGGTTACCTGCGCGGTAGAGGCCAAATAATGAACGTGCTTAGGTATTTTATACGAGTGCAGCACTCGGTGCAGGTGCAATACTGCATTACCAATGTTGGCGAAAGGCATATCTATTGCTCCTTTCTATTTAAGATTTTCGCATTTTAATTTATGCTCCTTATATTTAGGTATAAAATGCATCCTACCTATAAACGCCTTAAATTTTACGACTAGAATCAACAATAAAGAATGCCTACTCTGCGTCAATGCTTTCAAAGAGGTAACAAAAGAATTCGTTGGTGCATTTCCGCCGTAGTTCATCTTATCCATATGCAGTAATAATGTTTTATAATCTTTGTTTATACAAGCTTATAACAATTAAATTATGCATGAAAAAATAAAAGCTCGAACCATATAGGAACCTAAAAAAAATAATGTTATTTTTATAACCGAAGCCCTTTTCAGTGGTCTGCTGCTCGCTGACGACGCACTGTTTGCTAACAGGTGCGCCGTCTGTGAACGGGTGCAGTGCCACAGGTGCAGCTGAACACGAGCCGTGAGTGGCGGCCGGTACTGACACTGCCCCTTTCACACGGAGGAGGCCGAACACCTGTCTGCCAGGAGCACCAACAGCTGATCGGCAGAACGCCGCACTGTCCGGCGGCCCGGCACCCGCGCTGCATCAAACAGACTCCACAAACAAGCATACAACGAAGCGTGAGTATGTATGTTACACAACGAACCTGACGCGTGAGTTTGCGTACAAAGCTGAGGGTGGGGAACGGGGGTATACGTGCAGCGCGCATCACAGGGGCTCTGCGTTGGAGTGCGGCAGCCTCTGTCACGGAATCTCTCCCTCGGGCGTAGATAAGCGCCGATGGCAGCGGCCCATCTGATGAGCTCCAGCGGCGCACACACAATGGCTGTGCGTCACCGAATGCGCATCACCAGACAGCGTGCAGTCGTGCACCGAGGGCAGGCCGCCGAGGGTGATGACTAATAGGACCAAGGAGGCTGGAGGGAGAGCCGCCCCGCCCGCCCCGCTGCCCCGCAGCCCCGCTGCCCCCGCTGCGCCGGGGCGCCGCGGAGTTCGGCCAGCTGGCACCCTGGCCCGAGTCGGTAGTTAAGTTCTGGTGATTTCCGCTATAATCCCGCGGTATGCAGACCGAAAGGTATTTGGTTTTCTTAGAGGTGCCCGAGGTGACCTGACCCCGACGGCGGAACGGAGAGGTCGGGACTGCAGCTTTGGTCGGCGATCGGTCCTTTGTTACGGCTCACGGCACGCATCGAGCTGGCATATTGGGTGTAATGAGGACCCACTGAACTGCCTCAGACATTCACCTGTGCTCTCATCCCGTCCCAGTCTGCTAACTCCTCCCACACACTCCCGAGTCCCGTTCTGCTCACTCCGGACTCCCACACACTTCTGCACGCCACAGTTTCCAGCTCTCTGGGGAATGAGCAGAGTGCAGAGCTCACCTCCTCCGAGGGAATTCTTGGTAACGCACACCGAAGCCCGGCGCGAAAAACGGAGGATTACGTAGTTTGTCGGTTCTGGGAAAACATCAAAGAAATCAGTGCTGAAATGTGCTGCTTGGAACATAACGACGGACGCCCGAAATATACCTGGCTCCTTGGGGCGCGTGTCGGAAATGGTGTACCAGTTTCGAGACAGGCACGTGCAGTGCAATCCATCGGCCTTAATTGAACTCCAGGAACATACCCTGATTAAAAGAGGTCTTGGCTTTGCTATATCAATGCCTGCAGTGTACTCGAGTCTCAGTAATGATATTTTACCGTGTTTATTTCGTATCTCAGAAGAGTTATCTTTAAATATCAACCAGGATTTTACATTAAACAGCGTCGGGAAATACCTGCCCCTTAAAATTCACCTCGGAAGACTTTTCGTCTCGTCTGGGTCGTAGGGTCTTTCCATTCCACCGCTCACATATCAAACATTCGGAGCAGAACAAAGACATAATCCCATTCCATAATTGAACGTCAACCGCGTCAGCATGGCTTAGCGTTCTAGCTTTCAGATATCAAAGAAAGCTTCATTTTTGAATTGCCCATTTCTGGGTGCTGCGGCGGTAAGACGTCATAACTGGCATCAATTAGCTCATTTAATTATGGTGCAGCTATTTGTGAACCTCAGCATGGCTGCTCTGTTTCCCTAAGCACATGATCGACGGCTCCTCGACTGGGCCTCCCATCGGGGAGCGGTGCGGAGAGTGGCACCGCGGTGTTTGAGCAAACATCCGACCCGCTCCGAGCGCCCTTGAACCCCCACACCACCACCGGCCGGTGATCCATCCCAAACCGACCCCGGCGCCAAAAACGCAGCTGCGCGCGCGAGCCGCTCCACTGGCTCCACAGGACGGTGTAAACATCGCACCCGTGCTGATAGATGGACAAGTGCCTTCTCACGGATGCGTGTGATGGGATTTAAGGACACGCAAATAGTGAAAGACAGCTTGAGTGAAAGCTTTTAGGAACACTGAGATCACCAAGTCCTTAAACGTTTAAAGCGAAATCATTCAGCGTAAAACAAACTGTGATAATCGCTTGTTCGTTAGGTATTATGTCGTTGTGCACTAAAAGCTTCCTGAGCATTTCACCCCCTCAGCTGAACTTCACAGAAGGGACTGAGCGAGATGATGCTACACGGCTTTTGCAGCGTAAATCTGACCAGTCATTTCTTTTGAATATGAGTCACAACCCCTGCAAACATGACACCACACAGGGAGAATTTACATCCGGAAATATTCAAACCATTAACCATTCAGTTTATGAAGGGCAAATTAGTTACACGAACATGAAGTATCAGTTGGTGAAACCTTCTCCCGGATGAAGCGATTCCGGAAATGGCACAGCAAGTAAGATTCACTAAATGTGTCACAATAACTAGCTCTTTAAGATTTTCTTAGCTGGGTTACGCTAAAGTCATAGTTCATACGCAAAGAGGGCCTGCCCGGGACGAGATAAAATACGGATATCAGATCCCGTCAATCGTCATGTCGAAAGTAACTCTATCCGACAGCAGAAAAGAAGCGTAGCTGCTTCTCGA